CAAGACACTACGTGGCCCAAGAATGCCAGTGAATCAAGCCAGAATTCACACTTAGAAAAATTTGCATACAATTTCTTCTCCCTCAAAGTTGAAGCACGGTCCTCAGGTGCTGCTCATGATCTTTCCGAGACCGGGAATTTACCAGGATGTCGTCAATAAACACAATGACGAAGGAATCAAGATAAGGCCGGAACACACTATGCATCAAATGCATAAAGGCTGCTGGGGCATTGGTCATCCCAAATGACATGACAAGAAACTCATAGTGATCATATCTGGTCTTGAAAGCAGTCTTCGGGATGTCCGTCTCCCAAATCTTCAACTGATGATAGCCAGAACGCAAGTCAATCTTGGAAAACACTCTGGCACCCTGTAACTAATCAAATAAATCATTGATGTGAGGCAAAGGATACATGTTCTTCATTGTAACCTTGTTCAACTGCTGATAATCAATACACATAAGCATAGAACCATCCTTCTTCTTCACAAATAAGACCGGAGCACCCCAAGGTGATACACTGGGCCTGATGAAACCCTTATCAAGCAACTCCTACAACTAATCCTTCAACTCAGGAGGAGCCATACGGTAGAGAGGAATAGAAATGGGCTGAGTGCACAACAACAAATCAATGCCGAAATCAATATCTCTATCGGGCGGCATACCCGGAAGATCAGCTGGAAACACATCAGGGAAGTCCCTCACTACTGGGACTGACTCAACTGTAGGGGTATCAATACTGACATCTCTCACATAGGCCAAATACGCATCACACCCCTTCTCAACCATTCGCTGAGCCTTAAGAAATGAAATGACCCTGCAGGGAGTATATTCTAAGGTACCTCTCCACTCTAATCTCGGCAAGCCTGGCATAGCCAGCGTCACGGTCTTAGCATGACAATCAAGAATAGCATAATGGGGCGACAACCAATCCATGCCCAAGATAACATTAAAATCTACCATACTGAGTAATAATAAATTGGCTCTGGTCTCAAAACCACTAAGAGTAATAAAACACGACCGATATACGCGATCCACAACGAGAGAATCTCCCACAGGACTAGATACATGAACAGGGGAACTCAAAGAATCCCGAGATATCTCCAAATGTGAAGCAAAATAAGAAGACACATATGAATACGTAAAGCATGGGTCAAATAATATTGATGCATCCCTGTGACAGACAGGGACAATACATGTGATGGCTGAATCTGAAGCGACGACCGCTGAATGGGCTGGAAGGGCATAGTACCTGACCTGGCCTCCCGCTCTAGGGCGACCTCTACCTCCCCGACCTCCGCCTCAAGCTGTCTGAGAAGGTAGAGTGGCAGCTGGGGCTGGAAGAATAGGCAGGGTGCCTCTACCTCGTTCATCTTGGCTTGGTCTTCCTCGGTCACCAGGCACCGAAAGTAACTGGCCACCCCTACGGGGACAGAGAGGACCCAGGTATCCTACGGAACAGAGATGATTATGGATCGCTTCCGGTCAGGATCCACACTCGGAGCTGGGAACCGGTTGATCAGTTTCGGGCTCGAGGAAAACCAGCTTGCCCCCAAAGATGAACTTTTCTTCGGTACCTCTAATTCACCCAATCCGGTGACGTCCTCCGTGGCGGTGGAGTCCACGCTATCAAAAAATCCACGGAAGGGGTCGTCCGCTCCACGTGCCCCCTCGTTGGGGTGCTCTTTCACCGTTTGGGCCTCGTTATACATGGACTCAATAAACGAGGGTGATTCACTAATGTCTATCACACATAGTGCTTCCTACGTGGCACTGCCCACATCCCGGGAAGCCTCGGCCCCAGCCTCCTCATCGAGTTGTGACGAAACGCGGGCCATCGGGACAAATGCTTCTTCTTATTCTTCTTATTTTTCTTCCGACTCATCTTTCAGCCGGTAGAGCGAATCCGAAGGTGGTGCTCGGGCACCGGTTCTGTCTTTTAGCTTGCGCACCAGCCTTCTTGTTTTCTTTTTCTCCGAGCTCGGGGAAATCGGAGCCCTCTTTCTTTTCTTCTCTACGGCCTGTCTCGGAGCAGGGAACTCGGGAGGTAAGTCCTCGCTACTGGATGGAGGCCTCAGTTCGGCATCCTTGGATAAACCTGCAAAAAGAAGTAAAGGGAATGAGGACTTAATAATAAAAAAGGAATCCAAATATTGCCTACTTAGGAAAGGAGTCTCACCATGGGAACGAGCCTTTCAACAACCCTTCGAGAGCTTGCGCCATGAGCGCTCGGAGTAGGGTATCTGTGATACGATACCCTCAACCCACTCCTTGAGTCGAGGGACAGCATTCGGGACCCGAGCGATGGCTGCACCGCCACAAAACACCGATAAGAAAGAAGGAAATAAGTATAAAATCGACTTTCGAAAATAAAATTGTACTTACGTGATGTATTCTACTTCTCGGGGAATGGCATGCGCTCAGCTGGGATCAGGTCCGAAGTCCTTATTCGGACAAAGCGGCCTTGCCATCCCCGATCCCGGTCTTCATCAATACTCGAGAATGGGGCTTTGCTGGCCCGACGCATGAGCTTTATCAGTTTCCTCGAAAGATTCGGGGACTGTACAAGCATAGAAGATGGTCGACGGTGAACGAGCACCCATCGATTCTGCTCATGAAGAACCAAAGGAGGATCACGATCCTCTAAAGTGAAGGATGAATCTGACCGAAGCATACTTCATACCTCTTACAGAAATCTATGATGACCGGGTCCATCGGGCCCGATGTAAAGGAATAAATGTAAACACTTTGGTATTAATGGCTTCATCGGGGTTAGGGATCACTATGCCCTTATCGGCCTAGTTGCAGTCTTTTCGGACCATAGGGAGGACTTCTTCAGTGATCGAGCAGATGTATCTCGAGACCTCCTCACACCGGCCTTGTACGGAGGAAGGTTTTTCAACCTTGAAATCAGCATTGACCGAGCATCCTCCGGGGATGAACATTTTCAAAGGGGGTTCCGGTACTGGTTCATCAACGGCAGTACGCGAAACAGTCTCCTCGACCTCAATAGCCGGCCGCGAAGTAGAAGGGGTTTCTTTCTAGGGAACGGTTTTGGAAGTCTTTGCCATTTCTTTAAAATGGAGGAAGAATGGAGAAAGAAAGGAAGTTGAAGGATTGTACTTGTTGGCTTAAGATGAAGATAAACAAGAATTCTTGCAAAGGATCTTAGATAACCGGAGTGAAAGCGCAAGGAAGTATTGAAATCTTAGGGATACGAGGGCCGAAAGTTTGGATGTAAAGTTAAAATGAACTAAGGAAGGGGTATTTATAGTATTTCAACGACGGTTCGCATCCAAGAATGGCCGACCGACGACTGACATGCATTTAATACCATTAAGACTTGACTGGCGAGACGTTTCAGTTGTTTTGTCATTTCTGTCGCGATGTATCAAAGTAAGAATCAGAAGTTCATGTTGTTTCTCGTCGTCTGCTCTCCGAAAAATGAGGGAACTATCTGTATACGGTCGAAATCAAGCTCGTGGTGCATCCTAGCCTCCGTCATGGTAAGACAGGCTCGAGACAAGGCAATAAAGAACTGAAGATCGACCCTAAGTCCCATCGGGCTAGAACTCGGAGATAGGACACCTGCCTTCGAGAATATCGAGGCCATGATCCCGGAATCGGTCCTAGCCTCAAACGACTTTGACGAAACATTGTCAGCATAACCAACGGAAGACCGAAAAATCCGTGACCGGCCGGATATTACGGCGGGAATCTCGGCAAGTACCGATAAAGAACCAGCAATCAGTAAATCAAAAGATTTTTTACCTTTTATAGAATTATACCTAAAGTAGGACTCCTCTACTATATAAAGGGGGTCTGATAATTCATAAAGCATGTTGTAACACACATTCCAAGGCTATATACCGTTATTTTTTCTGTTATTAGTTCTTTTGCTTTCGTTCGTCAGTGCTTGTTGTTACGAGCCCAGATCGAGGGCAAATACCTCACTAAGGTTTAAATTGTCTTCCTCGTGTGGTTTGAGCTTAATTCATCCTTACTTATTTAATTTGTCTTTATTTATTACTTTGTGTCAAATAAATCCGCGTATCCTTAAAATCACTTACAAATTTAATTGTTATCTGATTTTAAGGGTAAAAATAAATAAAACGCAGACTATATCTTGTTAAATACAATGTTATAATCAACCTATGTCGTTGGCCTTTTTTAGATAATAATTTATCCTGTCTCGATAAAGCTTTTAACACATTTGGCTGGTTGGCCTAAAATAATAACAGCCACTAGCCATATAAAAAAAAACATTGATTATATATAAAAAAAAGTATATGTATTATATGTATTTATACATTCATATATATATTTATAGATTATTATTTTAGCGAGCAGCTATACTGCTATCCATTTTTCCAAGTAATAACTAGGGAATGGGTTGACAAACGAATGAATGGCACAATAGTATATACTTGAGCGCTAAATTTCAAGTGCGTTTGTATAATTTTTTATATCTAAACGAGCATAAAGTATAATACAATAGATAGGTAGGTTAATATTTTTCCTAAATATACATTTTCAAATACATTAGTTAGCGGTACTGATGAAAGTCTTTAACACACTATGTGCATGTTTAATTCACACTTTTCTCCTGTAATAGCATTTTTGAAGAAAAAGCAAAAAAATAAGAGTATTTTGACAAATTCATATTCTAGTCATTCCTCCTTTCCTGTGATTTTTCAGTCTAAAAAGAAAGCAAAAAACCTCTAAC